ATCATCCCTTTAAGGAGTTTAGACTATGGCTCATATCATGTCCAGCACGGATCTCCTCCAAATCCCTAAAGATCCCCAGATGCCCCTTGGGGTCCCGAAATCCTAAACCCAAAACTCTAAAACCTAAACCTTCAAACCCTGAACCCTAAACCTAAAACCCTAGACCCTGAACCTTAAACCAAGAAACCTGAACCCTAAAACTTGACAACTAAATCCTAAGCCTTAAACCCTAAAACTTAAACCCTAAAACTTAAGCCCTAAAACTTAAGCCCTAAACCCAGAGGGTTTAGAGCAAGCGGCTTAGGATTCAGAACTCGTGCCTACTTGGGAGTCGGGTGGTCCCATAAACTCCCCAATAATTAGTTCCCCATAATCCTCCCCGATAAGCCTGAAGCCATAAGCTCCATCGCCATAAAACCTAACCCTAATTCCTGTAAATCCTACCTCCTGATCCCTATAGGCACTTATCCTTACCCATCGAAAGACACTAAACCCAAACCCTAGAGAAGTAGCCACCCCGAAATGTGATCCGCAAGCGGGGCTCCTACATCCCTGTGTGGCTCCTAGTATCCCCAGAATCCGTAGAGGTATCTAAGCGGTATCTATATCAAGGGATCCCAAGATTGTACTTCAAGGGCTGTACCCCGGAGTCCTTGTAGACCACACTGGTTCATATGAGCTACAGTCGGTATTTCCTGCAGAATTGAATGGACATGGGTTCTCTAATTAGGGGCGATACCGAACTACAAGAGGGACCCCTGTGTCCACTGCTAAGGTTTCCCTAATAAGCCAAGTATTGAGAAAAGTTCATATAAGGGGCACTTGAGAGATTGGGGGAACCTCATTGGGGGTATGACCTCAGGGGTACAGCCCTGGAAGCCTGGACTAAACCCTAGATCCCGAACCCTGGGCCTCTGACCCTGAAACCTATACTAACAAGTCCCCCTCAGCCTCACGGTAAACATCTTTGGGTTCTGTGCAGGTACCTAAACCCAGGCCCTAGACCCTAAATCCTAAACTCTACAACCTGAATCCTATGGAACTTGCCAGGGAGGTGCAGAAGCAGAATCTTGGCATTCTCGAATCGCTTGGGCTGCTGTTCCTTATTAGGAACCAGGCGTCCGAGAAGACTGGAGAAAGTTTACTCTCGGGCCATGGCATAGTTTAAAAGTTGAGAGTTTAAGGTTGAGGGTTTATAGTCCCCTTCAAGTGATAGAATATGGGGTATATGGGGATCTTATTACAATATACCCAAAGCCATATTCTATCTACTTAAGGGGGACTATAGGGTTTAGGGTGCGGGGTTTAGGGTTCAGAATTTCGGCTTCAGGCTCAGGGTTTAGGGATTAGGGTTCGGGGTTTGCTGGGATGCTGTTCAGGAACTCGTACTAAGTCGGTTAAGGGTTTGGGTCTAAGGGACAATCAAAGGGACCATCAAACGGAATTTGAAATGGAAACTGTGGCTTTCTAGGATGAGAAGGAGTATACAGTGAATAACTATTACACGCATACCACATTATCTTATTTGCTATTATCCACATTCACGTCACTTCACTTTCAGTTCCTTAGGAGCACGCCAGTTCAGGGCTCAAGGACTGCTGGGGTTAAGAGATGGTATAGGGGTGAGATTACAGGGTTTAGGGTTCCGGGTCCAGGATTTAGGGTTTAAGGTTTAGGGTTCAGGGTTTAGGGATTAAGGTTTACAGGGTTCAAGCACTAAAGATTTCAGTACCTAAACACCACATGGCGGCTGTCCAGGAAGGTGGTTTTTGCTACAGGTGCTCGCAAAATGAGGCACCTGCTTTGAGTCCCAACACGCTGATAAACCTCAAGCTCGAAGCTAGGGGTTAGGGTTTAGGGGTTTAGGGGTTTAGGGTTTAGGGTTTCTGTTGGTCCTCAAGGCATAAAGTGCTTCGTGTCATGCAGGAGATTTAGGATCAACAAGGCCTAAACCACAGACGGTGTTAGGGAGGGCCGATCACATTTCAGAAGCACGGTGGTCGGCCCTCTGGAGTCCGCCATTTGTCCCAATTCAAAACTGCAATGTTCAGGAAGGTAGCCCTCAAACCTAAGCCCTAAACTTATAGTCCCGCTTAAGTAGATGTCCCGCTTAAGTAGATAGAATATGGCTTGGGGTATATTATAACAAGATCCCCATATACCCCATATTCTATCTACTTCAGGGGGACTATAAACCCTGCGCCCTACTTTGAAACTGAAACCTTGGTATAAGCGGCCCTGCGCAACTCAGAAAAAGAATCCCATCTGCGAAGCTCCGTACTTACCTTGTAGTGTAGGGTTGAAGATTTATAAGGGTTTTGGGTTTGGGGGTTTAGGGTTTCGGATTTTGTGTAGCGAGTGAGTCAATGGAATGGACCCTTATAGTTGTCCCTGTAGAATCCCCCGACAACATGCTACATCCACTTTTAGTTTCCCTTCCCTCGTTTTCTGCTAACCAAAGGTAAGCTTAAGGGCTACATTGTCATCCACGGCAAGCTATACTGTTCCCCACATTTCGGCGGGGTAGCTCCGTAGTTGGGATTACATGTTCAGTTCAAGCACATCAGAATGGACCTAGTTCCCAAGCCATGAATGTCGTTAATAGGCGCGTGAACATGGCAAAGCCCTGCCAGCGAAATTGACAAAACCTAAGCGCTGAGTGCAAATTGATTAACCACACTGCAACATTGCGGAGTCTGCTGAGAACCCAACCCTAAACCCGAAACCCTACATACCCTAAATCTTTAAACCCTAACTGTTGACTCCAATTTTGAACCCTGATCCTGAAATCCCCAACCTTCACCTGGACTTAAAATCCGGGGCTGGAAATCCTACACCTGAAGTCCAAAGGGTTTAGGGTTTAGGGAGCCCACTCTCCTAAATCCTAGGCCCGGCACATAAACAACGAACCCTAAGCCCTGAACCCTCAATCCTAAACCCTAGACTGCATCATTGACCTCCCCGCGCTTCAGACAAGATGCACAAACTTCTGAACAGAAACCCTCAGCGTCTAACTCTTAAAACCTAAGTTCAAAGCCCTGAACCAAATGAACTTTGAACTCTAAACTTGAAACACAAGATAGCCTTCCACTTTCAGGGAACAGTGGTCAATAAGGGCACCCTCTTTCAGGTCCGATGTTGGCTTGGGATCCCCTAAGTTCGAGCAAGGCACAAACCCTGCGTAGGAGAAGCACTTCTTGAAGCAAACCCCTGGCAAGGGCTTGCTTGGAGGATCATGGGACTTAGCACCTGATTCTAACTGAGATTACGGCCCTACAGAAAACTGGGCTATCCCACATAGGGTATTGAAGGAAATCATATTTAATTGAGTTTTTGAACCATAGAACCCTGATAAGAACCTCATAAAACCCTAATAGAACCCTAATGTAACCCTAATATGACCCCAATATAACCCCTGTATAACCCCAATATAACCCCAATATAATACAGTAGTTTCCATTTTATTTTCCATTATCCCTAAACCCTAAACTCTACACCCCAAACCTTACACCCTAAACCCCAACCCCAATATCATGTGTAAATTCGTACTAAGTCCCATGAGTCTTGGGGTGGCATCTCGGCTTGAGAAGCTTTCTTTTTTGGGGCTCCCCTGGATTCGGGGTTAAGGGTTTAGGGTTTAGGGTTAAGGGATGTTAAGGGTTAAGGGTTTAGGGTTAAGGTTAGGGTTAAGGGTTTATTAAGGGTTAAGGGTTAAGGGTTTAGGGCTGGGAAGGTTTAGAGGCTCAACGGGAAAAGATTCAAGGGTTTGCGGCCTGAAAGGAGTGGAGGATAGTGCCTTGGCTTCAGGGTCTAGATTTTGGGGCTTAGGGGCTCAAGAGTGCCCAGAGGTGGAACGAATACCCATACTATACTGTGATTACGAATTATACAGTAGCGTACTATACTACGTTACTCTACTACACTCTATATCCAGATGTGAACGGCCTTCCAGTCTCAATCAGGTTTGGCCTAAACCCTAGACCCTGAACTCTAAACCTTAAACCTGAACCCAAAACCCTCAACCCTCTAAACCCTAAACACTTAAACCTTTTTGCTTAAGAAATCCTATCTACCCAAGTGTAGCAATGCTTTGGGACCAAAGGGTTTGAGACCCAAACCGCATGCCTAGTTCTTGGGGTCCCTTGAGTTTAGGGTTGGTTTAGGGGTTTGGGGTTCAGGGTTCACCTCTTCATTCAGGTCTGATTTCATGTGCCCCAACGGAGGGTAGAGGTTCCCAGAAACCCCTCAACCCTAAGCTCTGTGAGCCCCAAACCTCACATTGTTTAGAATTCTGGGGGTGCGCCTTGGGTACCCACGTATGTGGCCTGCTTGGGTGCCGTCTGTAATTCTCAGTAAAGCTGAATGTAACCTGGATATCTCGACTTCGTAGGGGGAGTGGATTCATACACACATGAAAGGCCGCGGACCCTATACCCCACGCTTTCCGGTCTGAATCCTACGAATCCTGAATTCCTACACCCTAAACCTTAGACCCTACATCCTAAAGTGAAACCAACACCCCAGGCTTCAAGTGCCAAATCCAAATCTTAAGCACCAACAGGTAGTGCCATCAATACTGGTAGTGTAGACCCCTGATTAAAAAAACCTGCCCTTAATAGGGATTATAATACGGATCCTAGTAGTAAGGCCCTTAAAAGGAGGAGGTTCATTAATTAGGGCCATTAGGGTACAGTAACGACATCAGGGGCAATGATTTACCTTTTATCCCCTTGGGCTTCCTTGGCTGGGTCCAACATTCATCACTGGAGCTACAGTCAAACTTCCCATATTCAAGGGATTAGAACTCGGACCCCTAAGGTTGTAGCCCTGAAGGGTTTTCCCAATATACCAACTAATATGGCTCCCATATTCCCAATGG